TTTTGTGCGTTTGCAAAGATACTGCAGAAGTGTTTTTCACGCTCGAGCGGGTATGTTGCGCTCGAGCGGGTGTCTGGAACCTGTAAAAGTATTGGAGGAGTGTATTCTACGCTTGAGCGGGTATCTTTGCGCTCGAGCGGGTGGTGTTTTGCTGTTGCGCCTTGGCACTTGAGCGGGTATCTTTGAGCTCGAGCGGGTCCAGTTTTTGTGTCTTATGCTCGAGCGTATTACTCTCCGCTCGAGTGGACTATACGTATATCAGATCGTGACTGTGTTATTTTAAATCACTTTTTCGTCTCTCTCTCTCTCTAACTTTCCAAAAACCTAATTTGAGAGCTCCTTTCTCTAGAATACAACTTCTTTCTACAAAATCATCTAGCTCTAGGGATCTTCTACCTTAGTCCCTTTATATAAAGTGTGGAGCTTGGCTTGATCTTCTTTTGGATCCGAAAATCTTTGGGTTTGGAGCACATTTGAGTTTCTTTATCATCTCCTTTGAGTCTCTTCTTTTGAGGTAGGGATAACCTACTCCTTTCTATGGGTTTTGACATAGATGTTACGTATTTTGTATAAATGGTGGTGTTTGGGGTTTTTGTGAGAAACTAGGGTTTGAAATTGAAATTCCAAAATAGGGGTTTTCTAGTTTTGGGGTTCCAAGTGTATGAGTGGTCCCTAAAATGAAGTTATTGTGTTTGGTTGATGAAATTTGGCCTTGGGTGCAATTTTTGTAAAAAAAAAGGAAAATGCCCTAATTATATTGAATAATTAATTTGAAGAATTAATTTGGGAAGATGTGGAGTTGAGTTGAAAATCATGAAATTGGGAAATTATGGAATTGAACGGTGTAGTTGGATTAGTTAATCACTCACCTATGGAAATATTGATATTTTATTTGTTTGATAAATTTATTATCTGTTTAGAGACAACTGCTTTGGGCTATCGGTAGAGGATAGTCTTGATTGTTGCAGACCTTGTATGTTGATTAGAAAAAACTGAAACTAATCATCTGGAATATGTCATTGAATATGACGGTTGGAGTAATACATCGAATATATGTATTAATTGATCATTGTATATGATGAGTGTTTAAATATATTGTATATGTGTATTGTTTGGGAGGAGATAGGGGATGTACTCCATGGTTTGAGAGGAGATAGAGGATCCTGTTTGGGAGGAGATAGGGAATGGACTCCATTGATAACTAAGTTGGCCGGAGTGTCCAGGGTGAAAGTCCCGAAATCTTAATTACGTTTGCATAACGTAGATAATTGAAGTATGGAAGTATTTAATATGAGGTGTAGTCTCATTTGAATTGTGGATAATAGAAGTGTTTTAATATGAGTTGTAGTCTGATGAAATTGTTGGGCTAGATAATGAGCCATGTTTATGAATCTGAATTGGATAAGAAAGGAAAGTGAAATGAAATATGATTGTGTTTGTCATGAAACTGGGAATTGCTGTAAGTGGGTTTACAAGTGTTAACCTTTTATCAAATGCTAATGTTTTAGTTATTGCCCATATCTGGTTTAGTATATCTCTACTGGGTTGTGGCTCACCCTATATGGGACATCATTTTCAGGTTCAGGTGATATGCTACTTCAAAGGACGTAGCTTGGGAGGCTTAGAGACTGGAAGACCTTTTGTTGTTATTTTTGTGTATTACATGTAAATCAAGCCAAGGGCTTATTTTGTATGAAGAGTTAGAACTTTTCTTTTGTTGAACCCAAGTGTTCTCTTGGAAAGTTGTAAGCCCGCAGGGCATTTACTTTTGTTGTCAACATGTAATACTTTTGTATTTAATACTCTGATGAATGGAAAATATGCTTTATTCTCTTGTCTATGCATGTCTAAAATGTTGGGTTCTTATGGTTTATTTTAAGGGCGTTACACAGATAGCTCCAGAAGCGAATTAAACAAATTCGACAGATCAGATGAACTATGGTGCATGACCTACAAAAACATGTGACAGATACACATTGAAACATACGTTCAGTGCGTGCATCTATGAATTCTTTAAAATCAACTTCAAAATAGAAGGAGATGTGCATGTATGCATGAGTTGAGCTTAGATTTTTCAATCTTAACTTCATTCTCATAATTAACCACCTAATTCTCTTGAATTCATGCTCTTGTTGATTCATACACTTAACTTATGGGTTGAATTCTTACCTAAATTTCTCAATTGGAGTCTAAATGGTTGATTCCTTGAGCTAGCAAACTAATTCTCCCAATTCCTCTCAATTCTCTCTTCTGTAAGCTTGGTTGATCACTTCTCAAACTCTTTTCTTTCCCTCTCTTTTACTATTTTGTTTGCAAGGATAATGAAATGGAAGTGTATAGAATGTTCAAGATTAGCCTTTTATAGGTTTGGTTTAATGTTGGTTAATTAAGTTTGGTTTAGGACTAATCAATTGATATGATTTTATTCTAATTATTTGTTTTCGAATCAGATTTCAATTAAACTTCTCATAAAATTCTAAAAATCTTAAATAACATGTTGACTTAGTCAATTTCATATTCGGATGTCGATAAGGCCTCTAATTAACAGAACAAAGCAGAGTTCTGAACAGATATTCCTCTGGCTAACAGATAGGAATTCAAATAACAAGCAAATCACACAATTAACACATAATCTCATTCTTAAAACTTAATGAGCATTCTTAATCATGGGTTATGGGTTAATTACCGATCGAAGTTGTTACAAAGGGGAGCTCGAAAAAGAAAAGAATAAGAGAAAATGATGAGGGGAAAAAAAAAAAAAAGAGCAGGAGAAAGGAATTGCTAATGATAGTTGGAGGAGAAGAGTAGTGAGAAACAATAGAATGACATTTTGTTATAAATTTGAAGATGTAAGAAGGACATTTTTGTCTTTAAAATGGACTTACTCTTTTTATAAGTGGAGAAAATTTCATTTTTACCCCCATACTTTACCTTCATAATCAATTGCATCTTCATACTTCGAATAATTTCAATTTTTACTCCAAAATTTTTGAAATCATATCAATTTTCCCCCAACCGTCAAATTTGAAACGGAAAAAGTTTAAAAAAATTTACATTTTAGCCCCAAATTTTAAAAGAAAGATACAAATCCACCCTTTCAAATTGTTCTTTTTTCATTTTTTATCTACAACCATTGAAGACAATTTCAAAGATGTTTGGTGATTTATGTTGTTTCGAGCAGTACCAAATTTTCACATTTTGTTTGTAGCAATAGAAATTCAAATTGAGATATACTAAGATAAGGTGATTTTTTTGGTTTTAGTTCATGGGGAAAAAAAATATCAAATTTGTTTCTATTTTTTCTTCAATAGATGTAAATGTATATTGAGGAATTGTACTTAGTAGATTACAAGATGCAAAAGCTATTCTATTTTCGTGTTTTGTAATTATGTTGTTCTTAGTCCAATTATAATTTGGTTTTGAATATTTTTATGGATTAGTATTGAGTTTTGTTGTCAAATGTCTAATTTGAAATTTAATGTGGCTGGCAAAGTTAAATGCATTTGAAACTCTTATTTAATGGCATTTTAAACCATCATTACAAGTATTTCTAACGTCATCTTGCCTAAGTTAGTACACCACCGGCAATCGTAAAACAACGTTTTATAAAATGTTGCTAAATGTTTTACCATTAGCATTCTATATAAATAGTGCTAAAAGTGTTTAGCGGCATTTTTAAAACATCACTAAAAGCCATATTTGCTAAAAGTCATATTTGTTCATTTAAAAAAAAATATATATATATAACAAAACAATGTGATTGAAATTTTATTATGAATAATCAACACGTATGACCTAATAAAATGATGATTTAAATCATTATAACCGATATGTGTTAAAAAAAAAAAAAAAAAGTCTTCCAAAAAAATACTACTTAATTTTCAATAAAAGCTGCGAGTTAACCCCTAAAACCATGAAATGTCTTATTTAATTAAAAAAGACATACATAATGGAAACAAAAGGTAATTATAATAGCTCTCTCGAAATTGAACCAACCCATCTATATGGACCAAACCCTGCATCCATTCGGGTCCACTTTATACATGATTTTATAAGAAGAAATGATATAAAAGGGATTAAAAAAAAAAAATTAAGATTTAGTGATGTGTAAAAAAAATGATTAATCGATAATTAAAAAAATAAAATAATATAATTGCCTTAAAATAGACTGCAATAAAATTGGGTCTACCTTTTATATTAGAGTAACACTACTCTTTTATAAATGGAGAGACAAATCTAGGTTTTGATTGTTGTTGTCGCTAAGCCCAGTCTCAACTTGATGATTCTCATTGTTTGTGGATAGATGTTGGGAGAGTCGTCCATTGCATCGCCTACTACTACTGTTACTACCACTGCTCTGCCACAAGTTCCGGCAATTGTCTTCGTCAAATTGACCACCATATGAATAATAGTAGTTCATATAGTTGCCTCTTCGGTACAACTTTACATTCTCAAACCGAGCTGCACCATTTGATCCAAACCCACTAAAGTTTCCTAAAGTAGTGGGGAAAAGTTAGGGACCATGAAAAAAATTTCATGAAAATGATCATGAAAAATTTATAATCCTTAGATTACCTTGATTAGTGTGTGGTGCTTTATTCTAAGTGTAATCCAAGGGTCACAAAACTTTCATAATTATTTTCATGAAAGGTTTTTCATGATGTGGTTGAGATTTAATGCTGAAAAATTGATGTGACTTGTCATTAAATTTCAACCACACAATGCACCACTCTAGGAAACTTTAAAAAAAAAAAAACTCTAGAGGATCCTTGCTCCTCTCGAAATTGAACCAACCCATCTATATGGACCAAACCCTGCATCCATTCGGGTCCACTTTATACATGATTTTATAAGGAGAAATGATATAAAAGGGATTAAAAAAAAAAATTAAGATTTAGTCATGTGTAAAAAAAATGATTAATTGATAATTAAAAAAATAAAATAATATAATTGCCTTAAAATAGACTGTAATAAAATTGGGTCTATCTTTTATATTAGAGTAACACTACTCTTTCATAAATGGAGAGACAAATCTAGGTTTTGATTGTTGTTGTCGCTAAGCCCAGTCTCAACTTGATGATTCTCATTGTTTGTGGATAGATGTTGGGAGAGTCGTCCTTTGCATCGCCTACTACTACTGTTACTACCACTACTCTGCCACAAGTTCCGGCAATTGTCTTCGTCAAATTGACCACCATATGAATAATAGTAGTTCATATAGTTGCCTCTTCGGTACAACATTACATTCTCAAACCGAGCTGCACCATTTGATCCAAACCCATCCGACGACAATTGTTGGCCTGAAAATGAACCTAGGCCGGCTGCATGAGCACGAATATACATCGAAGGACGGAAAAGGCCGTCGGGAGCAAAAACTAGCTCTGAGGAGGAGGAGGAGGAGGAGTTGGAGTTGGTCATTGCATACTCAGAAGCTCTTTTAGCCTTTCTAGCTGCACTTCTCTCTTTCTTGTGAGCATTTTGATGTCCTCCCAATGCTTGTGAACTGTGAAACTTTCTTGAACAAAATAAACAAGGAAATCATTTTGTTGCAGCACCAGCGGCTTCGTCTTCATTGTTTGTTGCCATCTTCACTTCATGTTCCATATCCATATGATCCATCTGTAACAAAATCAAGATTTATAGTAAAAACCTACCAGAAAAATGATTCAAAAGCCAATTAATGTAATGTGTAAAGTTCACATAAAAAAGTTTCGGTGGAACTGCTAAAAGAAGACCTTCAAAAGATTGAACAGAATGGCAGAGCAAAGGGAGCACAGAGAGACAGAGAGTGAGTGATACAAATCTACAGACTTTGAACTTTGGCTTTAGATCTCTCTCTGATCAAAAGAGGTAGAAGAGGGAGTTCAGAAACTACTACTACTACAACTTGTTGGACAATCTTCACTGTATTTAAAAAGATTTAATTCTGTTGTGTACAAAACAACAACAAGAATAAAAGAAATAGAGAAAAAGGAGAGAATATGTTTGATTACAAAAATCAAACTCGAAATAAAATAAATAAATAAAAACAAAAATAGATTTTATTTTGTTACAAAAACAAAATTAAAATCTGAATAAATAAACAAATAAAAACAACACTGAAAGTAATTAAATAACTTACTTGATTTAATTTCTTCGAATTATTTTTCTGATCAAGTCCAGTGTTTAACACTGTAAAAAATAGACCGAACTTGAGGAAAAATTAACCATTTCCAACACAACTAATGCTACTACTGGAATTATGTTTTCTAAGAGTTGGAAAATGTGAAGACGGGTGTTCCCCGAGTGGTTATTAGGTGTTTTTTATTTTATAATGTCGTAGTTGGTTGAAAATATAAGATTTATAGTTTTGTGTCCAGTAATTGAAAAATATGAGAAAATATAATGTATAATAATTAATAAAGAAATATAAAATATAAACGCGCTGAAGGAGTACTGAATAATTTTTCGTGCTTCCCTGTGCGTGACTCTGTGATTTATTAAAAAGCGTGCAAGGTGTGTATGTAATATGTATGGGCTTGGGAACAGAAGAGATAAGTGAGAGAGAGAGAGAGAGAGAGCAGTAAGTATCCTCCAATAAGTTTCTGCATGCTGAGGCAATGAGACTGATTGGTGGGCAGAGATGTGTAGATTGGAAAATGGGAATCTCTCTCTCTTTCTTTCTTTCTCTCTGACAGTTTTATCGGTTTCATTGGCTTTCCGTTTGGAGGCAAGGCAGAATTTGTTTTTCATCTTAGTTTCACTTCTTTGTTTTTATCTCACCACTTGAGAATTGTGGTGGTGCCTCTTGCCATCATCCTCCCATTAGATTTAAATTTCTAGATTTTTGTTTAACAACAATGTTAGGTATCATGAAAAATATTTCATAAAAATAATCATGAAAGTTTTGTAACTCTTGCATTACACTTAGAATAAAGCACCACACACTAATCAAGATAATCCAAGGATCATAACTCTTTCATGATCATTTTCATGAAAATTTTTTCATGATCCCTAATTTTTCTCTTTGTTTAATGAAAACTTTCATTATGTACCTAATAATTATCAAATAAAAATATAAATTTATAATTAATTTAAATTAAAAAAAATTATTACACTCACTTTTAAATGATAAAATAAAATCTCTTGAATTTGAATGGTCCGTGAGGCTTATCAAATATTTCGTTTTAATGATTTGAGCTATTCATGTTGTAGGGCTCTCCATATATATCATTTATAAAAAAAAATAGGTTAATTCAATAATTGTAATCTTTTTTATTTTATTGTTTTGTTTTTCAAAAAAATTGTTGATAATATATTTTCAAAAATATATTTGTTGTCCATTTTTTTGGAGAAAAAATCAATAAAATAAAATAGTGACAATTATCTAATCAACTCAATTTTTTTCATGAATGGTATGTATTGAAAGCCTTGCAAAATGAATAGTTTGTGTGGGGATGTATTTTCTAAATACCAACACGTGGTAAGGTGACGCCGACGTGCCAGTCGACGTGCCACGTTTCCAGGTTGTAACGCCGAGGTTATCTCGGCAGGGCCGAGGTTATCTCCGAAGATATTGGAATCCGAGATAAATGGATAAAAGATAAGGGACAAGAGTCCTAGAGTAAAGAGGGGATTTAGCCAAGATAAGGATAAAGCTCTTAGGGAGTTTATTTTTATCTCTCGAGAAGTCCAAAGTAAGTACTAAATTGGAGTCCATAGAAGTCAAGCTTCTAGTGGGACTAGGATTGAGTAAACTATAAAAGAGAGGCACCCCCGTGGGTCTAAGGTAAGCAGTTTTATGCTTTGAGTAGTGAGTTTAGCACTTGAATATCTTTGAGAGATATATTGACTTGATCGTCGGAGTGCCCCCGGGTGGAAGAACCATCGCCGGAGCCTTTTCTTTCTGTTGCAGGTTAGTTAAAGCCATCTATTCTGCCGGTGCTCTCCAGCTGATTACTAGGCGGGCAGTGCGGTCAGAAAATTACCCACACAATTTGGCGCCGTCTGTGGGAACTTAGAAGAATAGATAGCCAGTAACGGACAGAAGAAAAACATTGGGGGCAACACTCCTGCTGGGAGTGGCAGACCAATTGACCTTGACATTGAAGGAGACAACCACAATGCAGAAACTCATGACCAGGGCCACGGAGAGAAAGACGTCGGCCAGGAGGGCGACACTTCGAAAAGGATAGACCAAAGCAAGTACTATAACGAAGATAACCTTCAAGTATGGAGGGATAGGTGCCTACGGAAGGATGAGGAAGTAAAAGACTTGGCAAACAAGTTGGCAGACCTACAGTCAGTGGTCAACTTCATGATGCAAAACAATGTCATGCAGCCACCATACCCGCTGTAGGATACGCCAATGCCAGCAATTAATACCCAGAAGGGAGGAAGAAGAACAATCCCCGAAGTCCCTCAGCACACCAGGAGCGGAAGGCACTCTCACCAACCTTCCAGGGAAGGCAGACGAGAAGAGCCGAGACGAGAGGAGTCCCGAAGAACGTATCACACAAAGGATCCAGAGCCCAAAGAACATCGGCATGTTCAAGGGCAGGCGCTCTGCTTTGACACAACACATGGAGAGAGATCAAAACGAGCCCACCACGAGGCCGAAAGTAGTGTGCTGAAGAGATTGAAGTCCAGAGATAGCCGAGCTCCAGGGAGGAGTAAAGAAGACTTGAGAGATTACCTCAAAAGGAAGCAATAGAATGCTGAAGCCGAAGTAACTTTCCCGGTTAAGCCGAAGACACCATTCTCGGTGGAATTAGACAAATTTCAAGCACCAAAGAGATTCAGTATGCCAAAGTTCCAAATATATGATGGTAAGTCAGATCCCAACTTCCATGTCGGGCTATACCTGAATTCAATGGCATTATATAGTGGGAACGAGCCGTTGCTCTGCAAAGTATTCCCCTCGTCCTTTGGGGAAATTGCATCAGATTGGTTCCATAAACTACCGAAGGGAAGCGTAAAGACTTGGGAAGGCCTGGCCGAGATGTTTGTGGCCAGGTTTGTGACAAATAAACTACAACCCTTGAGGGTCGACGCACTGATGGCTTTAAAGATCACCAAGGATGAAGGCCTTAGGGCCTACGCAAAAAGGTACTACGAGGTGTTTAATCGAATACCTGATTACAACCAAGAGGTGGCGGTCGTGTCCTTCAAGAACGGTCTGAAAGATGACTGCCCACTACGGAAATCTTTGGCAAAGACATTGCCAAAAAGCATGGAAGAACTTATGGCGAGAATAGAGAAGTACGCCAGAGCCGAGGAGGATACGTCGGGAAATAAAAAACAAAGCAGGAGAAAGTAAACGGCTCGCCGAAGCGAAGCTGAGGCAACAATGGACCAACCAAACAAGAAACGGAATTGAGGGCTAAACAGGCAGTAACGACTATATTCCGAGTCCCGATCCACAAAGTCTTGGATCAAATACGAACCCAGCCATATTTTAGAGGTCCGACAAGAACACTAGGGGAATTCATGGGAAGAAACGTCGGTAAGCGTTGTGCTTACCATAATGAAAAAGGGTATCCAACTCAGGGCTGCAGAGCCCTAAAAGCACACTTAGAAGACTTGGTAAGGCAAGGACATCTGAGGGACCTTGTTGATGAAGCCAAGACTAGAGAAGAACAGGCAAGATTGCCTCAAGCACCAGCAGCTCTGCCTCCCCCAGCACAGCAACCACACTCAGGAGGACCGCGGGTGGTTAATGTAATTTCACTCAAAGGTGAACGAAAACGACATACGAGGGGAAGACTCAGAGGCTTAAAACACCTACAACACATAAACAGGTCGGGACACAAAAAGACCTCGGCGCTGAAAGAATGCCAGGGACCGATGATAGCCTTCACTGAAGCTGACCTAGAGATGGTCCAGCATCCGCATAATGATGCCTTGGTAGTATCCCTCCAGGTTGGGGAGTGCCAAGTAAAACGCATCCTAATAGATCAACGCAGCTTTTATGACATCATGTACGCCAGATGTTACAAGGAGCTGGGCCTTCATCCTGACGACCTGGAACAATCCAGCAACTCGATGGTCGGCTTCAATGGAACGCCGACATGGCCACTAGGCGCCACAAGCTTCGAAGTACAAGCTGGCACTACGAAGATTAGGACAGAATTCATGGTGATTGACACACCTTCACCATATAACATCATCTTGGGAAGGCCATGGTTGCATGCAATGGGGGCAGTTCCCTCAACATTGCGTCAACTACTGCGGTTCCCAACAGAGCACGGGATTGAAGAAGTCAGAGGAGATCAACTGCAAGCAAAAAGTTGTTCCATGGCAGCAATGAAGTCTACTTGCAGCGTTTGAGATCCAAAAGAGGCAGAAATTGAAGATAAGGACGTGGAAGTCCTAGAAGACGTTGGCAAAGAACCAGCCGAGAAGAGCGAAGAGGCACTAAAGAAAATCCTCGTCCAGGATGAAGACGAAGAACGCTTCTTTCTTCTCGGCTCGGACTTAGCTGAAGAAGAGGAAAAAGAGTTGGAGACTTTTTTAAGAGCCAACATTGAGGTGTTCGCTTGGACACCTTACGAAATGCCTGGCATTGACCCTGAGGTCACTTGCCACAGACTGAATGTCGACAGGTCGGCAAAACCTGTGATTCAACGAGCCAGAAGATCGACGTTGATGCACATCGAAGCAGTAGAAGAAGAAGTGGATAGACTTCTGGAGGCCAAGGCCATCCGAGAAGTTCATTACCTGACATGGCTGTCCAACACAGTAGTGGTAAAAAAGAAGAACGGTAAATGGCAGGTCTATGTAGATTTTACAAGCCTGAACAAAGCTTGTCCCAAAGACTGCTTTCCTCTACCCAAGATTGACCAGTTGGTAGACGCCACATCTGGACATGGAAGGATGAGCTTCCTGGATGCTTACAGAGG